CCTGACTGAACCCAGCACACTGCTGCTTGCATTTTCAAATATATATAGGATGCTCTAGCTATCCCCTTATTCTGTGTGAGAGGGGACTGTTTCATGGAGGAAACTGGAACTGGCCTAATCCTCCTGATATACAAGGCTCTGATGTATTGTTTAAGTTGATACATCCAGCAGACATTTAAAAAAAGATAATCAAGATACAGGTTATAATAATGAAAGTTTTAAACTATTTTTGAGGAGCTCTTCCTTGCATTGACTAAGCACACAACTCCTGTGGCTTAAGATGTTACCAGCCGTTTTGCTGCTTTGTCCTTCATAAAACCCTCAGCATTGGGATTCATAGCAAAGCTTTGCTTGCTCTGGTTGGCTGGCTGATATTTTAGCTTAAAGAGCCAGTGAAAGCATGGCATTCTGTGCTAGTGTCGGATAGGGAACTGGAGCAGCTGAGGAACATGCATTGGTGTTCTGCCACTGCCTTGAAGAGATGGGAAACGTGTATGAAAAAAATCACAACTGTGTCTTAAAGCATCACTGCAAAATTGAAGTTTGCCTTACGATATGCTGTATGGTTATAAACTGGCTGCACTGAGGGGTTTCTTATCTGGAAAATCTGCTATTTAAAGTAACTTTTTCAATTGAAAATTCTGCAGAGTTTTCATGGAGAAACTGAACCAGCATCATTTTCTTGGACCTATGAGGAAATTAAGGAAGTTCATAAGCGCTGGTGGCAGTTAAGAGACAATGCTGTGGAAATATTTCTAACAAATGGCAGAACTTTACTCTTGGCTTTTGATAATACAAAGGTAATGTGGCACTGATGTGTAAGAATATGTGGTGTCTTCATAACATGTATGTTCATGCGTTAGTTTTTAAGGACACCTGTTGCATGGACTAATTAAATTCTATCTAATACCTTTGAAAAAAACCTTTGCTCAGGTAGACTTTCAAACAAACACAAACATATGTTGTAAAACACATCACTGATGTATTAAGACATTCAAGGATCTTAGTAAAACTAAGTGTGACTTCATTGCAGCAGACATCTGAAAATTTGAAAATAAGAAACTTACTACATCTTGGCAGTTTGAAGCTTTTTTAAATTATATGATTAAATCTATGGTATTTTCTTCTAGGTCCGTGATGATGTGTACCACAACATCTTAACTAACAATTTGCCTAACCTTTTGGAGTATGGAAACATTACAGCTTTGACCCACCTGTGGTACACAGGACAGATTACTAACTTTGAGTATCTGACTCATTTAAACAAACATGCGGGCCGTTCCTTCAACGATCTCATGCAGTATCCCGTATTTCCTTTTATACTCTCTGACTACACCAATGAAACACTGGACCTAAATGATCCATCAGTATATAGGTAATACAAAGTGCTTGGAACTGGTTATTTCCAAATACTTGAACTGATCATCCAGTATAGCTTTTTAATTTTATTGTACTAAACTGCACACAGACCTGAATGGAACTATTCAGGGAGAAGCCTCATCCGTAATAACTTGGGCTTTTTACAACAAGTGGCTCTTTCACCTTGGATATTTAAATAAAATGCCCAGTGTTAGGAGTGTGTGTATTTAAGGGATTTTATGAATTGGAATGATATACTGTTTTAATATTATATGAGTAGTCCACAGATTCAAATGCAAGCTGTATGTTTAAATTCATGTGATTTAAGTCTTCCAGGCTAATTAACAAAAATTAAATAGAATATGAAATAATATTGTAAATTATTTGGCCAGTTACAAAGTTGTATTTTCCTCATTGTGAATAGATCCAAGTGAATTGTCCCACCCTAATAAATGCCTGTTAGAGACGATGTCTCTGATCTGACAGAGGCACTTTGTGTTTGCCTGCCTGTTACTGTGCTATGGGGTAGCCTGTGAATCTGAGTTTGCCTTTAGCACTAACTTAAAGTGGCCTTTTGATTTTTCTGAACTCTTGTGAAGTGCTATTAAGTTCTGTTTGTCCTCGTCATGATATTAAAGGCATTATTCTTAATAATGCATTATTAAATGGTGTGAATCAACATCTTTATAAAAATGACAAGATATCAGTACTACTTCTGTTACAGAAATCTGGTCAAACCAATAGCTGTGCAGTCCAAAGAAAAAGAGGATCGTTATGTGGATACTTACAAGGTAATTTGGATAACTTTTTTGCTTCTTGCATTTTTCCTGTGTATAAATGATAGAGAGGCTTTAATTTTAACATATTGATGGGGGAAGAGAAATTACAAATCCAGTATTTTATGTCTATGGAATTCTCATTTCCAGTATGCTGCGTTTCCTGGGAGGAGTTTTATGACATGCTTGCAACCTGTTCTGTACCTGACATGATAAATCAATTTAGTCTTTTTGTATGGTACTCCTGAGGGGGTTAAATTGGTATTCTCTTGCCTATGAATATATATATTTAAAGGTCTTTAAAGATCAAGAAGATAGCTTATTGCTGTTTGTTTGAAGTTACTGTAGTGGATCTTGTGGCTCTTCTTTCTGTTTGACAACAGAAAAACTGCCTTCCCTCAAGTACTCTGTTATTTTAACATGTCCTACCGTGATTACAATGCTCTTTGGGTTTTGTTCTTTAGAATGTCTTAAAGGCTGTAGGAAATAACAACATGCTGGGGAATGAAAGCACCTGCAGCTGGACCTTGAAACTTGCATCTCTATCATCATAGTCTATTTGCAAATACTGGGGTTTTTTTTGCTTAGTATTGAAAAGCCAGTACAATGACTCTGCTGTCTTAGAAAACGAGAGGGGAGGGGGAGAAACCACAAGTAATAAGTAGTGGAAAACAGGCCATTTAAATTGGATTCAGACTTGGATATATAACTGGATTGGAAAGTGTCCTTAGACACTCTAGTGTATTTGATTCCAAATAATTTTTAAATGTCCTCTAAAAAGTTTGTTCCTAAGCAACTTAGGCAGGCCCCTATTGGAATACAGTGTAAGTAGGTTTGTGACGGGTTTTTTTTTCTTTCCCCTACAACTTTTCTAGTATTTGGAAGAAGAGTACCGTAAAGGAGCACGAGAGGATGATCCAATGCCCCCTGTACAACCGTATCACTACGGATCTCATTATTCCAACAGTGGAACTGTGCTTCATTTCCTAGTTAGGCTGCCACCTTTTACTAAAATGTTTTTAGCCTATCAAGGTAAGATTACTTTTGCTTGCACTTGTCTTTCATATCTGGGCCTTGTCCCAGTTACTCAGGAGGGCTGTATGTTACTCTGTTTAGCATAGTTTATCAATTCCAAATAGCTTAGTTCAGTAAAACTTCATCTGGTAGACCCGTTCTGAAATCACCATACTAGACCATTATGCTGTACATCCTCTATTTATACCTTAGGTCCGCTTTTTCTATATAAACTACATTTGACTTGCAGCCCATGTGTAACACACAGAAATTGAGATAAAAGAATTCTAAATGCTCTCAGCTGACTGGAGAGCAGTTGACTGCTTGAAGTTGCAGATGTGTAACTGTTACTGTGTCCGTCATCGATGTAACAAAATCAGTTTGGGTTTCTTTACAGATCAAAGTTTTGACATCCCAGACAGTTCTATATAAACTACGTTTGACTTGCAGCCCATGTGTAACACACAGAAATTGAGATAAAAGAATTCTAAATGCTCTCAGCTGACTGGAGAGCAGTTGACTGCTTGAAGTTGCAGATGTGTAACTGTTACTGTGTCCGTCATCGATGTAACAAAATCAGTTTGGGTTTCTTTACAGATCAAAGTTTTGACATCCCAGACAGAACTTTTCACTCTACCAATACAACCTGGCGACTCTCCTCGTATGAATCAATGACTGATGTGAAGGAACTTATCCCAGAATTTTTCTACCTTCCCGACTTTCTAGTTAACAGAGAAGGTATACTCAGAGGATACCAAAACTATACCCAAAACAGCTGTATGGTTGGAGCCTGTGGGTTGGAACTGACATTTATAACCTTTGGCTGGATATGCTAAGGGTAGATGTATGGGTGAAACGTGGCACAAATGCGTGGGATGTGCTCAAAAGAGCTGTTATGTAGGACTTCAAGGAAGTTTTCATAATCATGCCAGAGGTGCAAAGGAGTTCCCTGTTTGACTTTATTTTTCCATTTGAATGAGTATGTACAGCTTGAATGTTTTTTGGGGAGACTTGTTAATGGCATTAATGATCAGTCACTGTGCTTAATGATTAGCTTTCATAGAAGCCTAGGAAGACCTTTCTGAAGTTCCAACATTTTAGTTGACAGCAACACTTACTCCCTTGTTTCTAGGTTTTGATTTTGGAGTACGTCAAAATGGTGACAGAGTTAACCATGTCAATCTTCCACCCTGGGCTCGTAACGATCCTCGTCTATTTATCTTGATTCATCGTCAGGCTTTGGAGTCCGATCATGTTTCCCAGACAATCTGTCACTGGATTGACTTGGTGTTTGGTTATAAGCAAAAAGGCAAGGCCTCTGTTCAGGCTATTAATGTCTTTCATCCTGCAGTAAGTATTTGTCAAGCAGTGTGTGTGTTCATTGTACTTAGTAACTAAACGGGAGAAAGTTCGGTCTGTCTTGCTTGGCAAACATCCTGTGTGAAGCAAGATCCCATGCTCGTCAAATGTTGAAGAATAAGAAACATCAACCATTTTGATGCAGAACTGATAAGATCCCAGGGATGGCAGTGAGAATTAGTGAATTTGTCTTTCTTGCTCTGAGATGGGCATGAGGTTTAGACTTTCTGGATAGTTGTTTACAGTGATACACAGGTATTGTGTTTCCCTGCTTCCATCTCATTCAAAAGAAGCCTTTCATTTAGGCAGATTGTGCTGCAGCTTTGGATACAATTAAAATAGTTTGTCCTGAGCTCATCAATTGTGTTCGTCCCTTAAGACACCTCTTGTGTTTTGTCCCTCTATTGAGTACTTCCCCTCCAGTAAATTTAACTTCAAATAAGTTTTCATTTAATGTAAAGAATTCCAGAGTTTCACTACTTAATTGTAACATGCATAGCTCGTGTTGTGTTCTTCAGCTTCAATCCTTACTGTCACAAGGTGTGTTCAGACAGGCAGTCCTGGCTTCAAATGCATTCAGATGTGTTCGGTGTTTAGTGTTCATTTTATAGCTGGAAAAGCTAATAGAACAGTAGTTTTTGGCAGTGGTGGCTTTCTCTTTTCATGTGGCCACACAAATCACAGAATCATAGAATCGTTTGGGTTGGAAGGGACCTTAAAAGATCATCTAGTGCCACCCCCCCTGCCATGGGCAGGGACACCTTGCACTAGACCAGGTTGTTTTTGTGCTTAAGTATTGATTTAATTATTGCCTTACACTTTAAATATTAAGTTTGTGTGAGTGTTCGTTGGCTTTTTTTAATTGGAAAGTCAAGACTTGTCTGACCAGGGAAAAGTCTGTGGCACGCAATTAGAGACATGAAAAAGACAAGTGGAGGAAAGAAAAAAAAGAAAATTTCCACTCTCCTGAAATATGAAGGTTCTTTCTCCCTCCCCACCCCAAAGCAGAGCTTTAATAGGTTAATTAAAAAGAGGTGCAGAAAACAAACTTCCTCAATTTTTTGTTTCTCATCAGCAACCCTTTTGGCTTTGCACAGATTTGTCAAGTGCAACTAAGAAAATGTTTTTGACAGAAGCTAGTCATGGAATATGTGTAGGAGCAGCTCACAGGATAAATCTTAAAGCGGTAAAGAAAAACGTGGTGCCAAGGTTACTGTTCTTAGTGTCTCTTTAGCAGACACAGCCACTGTGGGATGCTTTTGGCTCAAGCCTTAAACTGAAAAGTCTGCCTCAATTTGTGTGCATGTTTTGAGAAATCTTTCCCAAAGACAAACTGGATAAGTTTATTCTCCCCTTCCCCCCCTTTTTTTCCTAGACCTATTTTGGGATGGATGTTTCTGCTGTTGAGGATCCTGTTCAGAGAAGAGCCCTTGAAACGATGATAAAGACATACGGGCAGACACCTCGCCAGCTCTTCCATGCAGCGCATGTTAGCAGGCCAGGATCCAGGCTTATCATGGAAGGAGAACTTCCTGCTGCCATGGGATTACTAGTGCAGTTTGCTTTCAGAGAAACCAGAGAACACACTAAAGAAATTGTATATCCAGTATGTCATTGTGGTTTGCAAGATGGTTTAATTAACAAGGGTACAATAGCTATGGCATATGAATATGTTTACAGTTTCCTTCCTAAAACTGCAACTTGTACTGCAGTTGTAGTATTGTACTGTAAAGAAAATGCATAAAGTTACTGAAGTGACAGTGAAAACTATTTTCATGTATTTGTAATATATATTTTAAGATAGATCCAAATTTATCTTGGTTATAGCAAATATGTCTTGGAAAAATTTCACTTAACCAGTTTTATCACTTCACTGAGTTCTGGAATCTGTGTGCAAACCTATAGTAGGTAAACACATACTGTGTTTTCTTCCACCCTCAACATTTTCACTGTCTGTAGGACAGTTCAACTGTCTTCACTTCAAACACTTGTTTTCCCTAAAATCTGGTGAGAAACTGAATCCTTGCACTTACAGAAACTGGTAGTTTTGGCCACACTACCTGAACTGCCAGCTTGCTATCTCGGCCTTGAAAGGAGCGGGAGAACTCCCTTAAAGCTAATAGTTTAGCTGATGATACCACCACTGCTTTATGCTTGTCTTTCTGGTCATTTTCAAATAATTCCGCAGTCCTTAATGTGATTGCTTGCAGGGATGTGGTACAAATGATTCTTCATTACTAATGAAATAACCTTTTTCTGAAAACTTTTTACCACCCTTTCATTTGAACCATACTTGTGCTTGTTTTAGAGTCCATTGCCGTGGATAAAAGGCCTGAAGTGGGGAGAATATGTGGGTTCCCCAAGTGCTCCAGATCCCGTGGTCTGCTTCAGCCAACCACATGGAGAAAGGTTTGGCACGCTCCAGGCTTTGCCAACTAAAGCCATCTGTGGCTTGTCCCGCAAGTTTTGCCTTTTGATGATATATAGCAAGGAGCAAGGTATGAACTTGTGCTTATTCTCTGTGCGAAAATGGGACATAAGTTTAGATCTAGTGCAAACCTCCCAAATTTAGTCACTTTTGCCAAAGATTGATTTATAAATTCAGTAACAGCTTCCACACGTGTGCTGTCTTTTCTGAAGGGTAGACTTTACTAGTAATTTTTGAAACTACCTGGAGGGATCCTGTAATCAAGTAGATACTTTCATTGAAGTGACTGAAGCATGAGGATTTAACTTTAGAACTTGCAAGCAGATTCAGTCCAGGAGGAACTGAAGAACAGATGAAAAAAACATGCAGCAACAAAAAGGAAGATTAAAGGCATAGTTTTTAGAGGCAGAGAATGAGGAAGGCTGTCAGTAAAAAGCAGAGGTGAAGGACCATCTGCTTTCAGATAAACTCCTCGGAGGGACTCTTATTGATAATGTGCAAACAGGTTCTCATGCACTTACTATGGTGTTCTTTGTAACACATACTAGTGAAGGTTTTCTAAATATACTAGACTTCACATTTAGTCAAAAAAATAAGTAACATTCTCCAAGTTATGAAAAATCATTTCTCTAGCTGGGAAGTCCTGTCAGCCTCCTCCCTTTTTATCCACTCCCAACGTGTTCAAAAAAATCTTGTCCAGGTTTTAGATTGTCTGTGGAGAACATCGAATGCTTACATAGTCTCTGAAAACTGTTTATAGTACATTACATATTAAGCTACAGCCTGACAAAAAAATCTTCTTTGGAGACTTTGGAGTTTTTTATATTATAGCTTGTGGTAAAACATGGACCTGAGATTTTTATTGTTGATTATCAGTGTGCTCAACTGTGTAACACAACATCATGCCTTCCCTCAGGTGTGAGAAGCATGCACAGCACCGATATTCAGTGGTCAGCTATCCTGAGCTGGGGATATGCCGATAACATTTTGCGACTGAAAAGCAAGCAAAGTGAACCTCCAGTAAATTTTATACAGAGTTCACAGTTCCATCAGGTAAAACAACAATCACTCTCTCGGTCTTCAATTTAATATTGCTAGTTTCAGCAGTGCCCTGGCTTGGCAGTAGGTACTCTTGCTTTCATTGTTGCAAAGCCTGTAGTGAATGACAAATCTTCTTGAAGATGAGCATCCAAACAGATACTTAATCTGTTTGATTCTCCTTTGGAATGTGTCCCTCACTGCTCCACTGTATCTTGCTCCTGGATGCATTCTTGTACAAGGTGAAGATCCCTTCTGAATACATTTGATGTTTTTATTTTTTCTGTCCTATGGAACACTGTTTTGGGTTTATAAAAGCTTAAGTTCTGAGACAAGAAAAATGAATACAGGGAAAAAGTATAGATTCCTCACATTAGAAGCAGAACTCCACTACAGTTTAGGATTCCTCTGAAAAAGGTTACCTAAAAGATTGTTAGGGAGCACTTCATAATTTCTGTTACACTGCAATGGTTGGTGAGAGTCTACTGTAAAGACTTTGGCTGGTGGATGTGGCTGTATACTTAAAAGTCTGCAGTAGTCCACTTCTCTTCAGCTGTAAATTCTGGGCTACACAGAATTTCCCTCTTTACTGTACCTTCTGAATAATAGCAAATATGACTTAGAGCAGGTATATTTTAACACCTGCATTTCTTTAGCTTAGGTATTTTACATGACTTTTTCTTAAGATAACCCATAATCAGTTTGATCAAATGTTATGGCATAATGAAAATAGCAATTAGAGTTCTGATCTTTTCTGCCTCTGTCTTTCCAAGGTAACAAGTTGTGCTTGGGTGCCAGACAGTTGTCAGCTGTTCACAGGTAGCAAATCTGGTGTCATCACAGCATATATGAACAGATTCACTAGCAATACGGTAAGTTCTGTTGGCCGGGATTTATATTTAAGGATTTGGATGTATTCACTATTACAGTCTTGTTAACAGGAAAAGTGAGAAAAAGGGAATATGTTATACTCAGGACAATTGCTAAAAAGTTCAAGTGCTTGTTTAGCACTTTTTTTAAGGATCTTCTTTGACACTGTTAAATAGATTTATCTCTGCATATTTATTTGTGGGTTTTTCTTAAGTTGTTCACATACTGCTAGCCTTTAGTCAGCCCTCATCATCTGCGAGCACAACTGATTACGCTTACAGCTCTGACTATATTCAGGCTAGGGCTTGGCATTGAAGCGCTCTGGCACAGTGGAGCTCCCTACATTAAGGAGTAACTGCGAAGGAGATAGCCTTTCGAAGCCTTAAGTGAAACTGTGGAACACATTTCCCTAAAGTAAACTACATTTCAAGTGCAGAAGGCACTTAGACTACTGAAAGCCGGGATGAAATCTCTGACAGTGTATATATTAACCACTAATCCTCTTCACTTTGTCATATTCCTCAAGGGGAGAAACTATGAGGAGAGAAGGGAGAAAAGTAACTTGCATTACTTAATGCATTAGTGGAAGATGTTGAGATACTAGTAGAAATTGCCCTGATACTATGTGGTAATAAGCATGGTATGAAAACACAAATACCATTTGAAATTCATCATCTAGTTCAGACCAAGTTTCTGAGTTTCTCTAGCAGTAACGTCTACCCTTCATGGTTTTATCGAAGAGTTTGTAACTTTCTTGATGGGTCATGTTAGGTGTATCTACAGGATTTCCCATAGCAAGAATTAAACTGATTTCTCAAATTTAGCTTGATACAGATACAGGTATTGGCAAACACATTTGTGGTGTTGTACTCCTGATGCTCTTGAATCGCTACATTAGCATGGGCTAGAGGGAACCTTGGTATGACCTGCTATGCCTACCCAGTATCCTGTTTTCAACAGTGGCAAACAGCAGATGGGAAAAGCACAAACATACAGTGATTTCTTCCTTGGCTTTCTTCCAGTTTTTGTTGACCTGCCACTCAGACTTCCTGAGCTCAGCAGCAATTTGAGTTGAAAAAAATGAAGTAGAACTTGAAGCCTGCAAGCTTCAATCAGTTAGATCTTAAGTCAGGCACCGTAACTTGGATTCCCGTTAAAATTTTTTGAGGTAGTAAAATAGAAATTCAATTGCCTTCTGTAGTGCTAAGAAGAAACTCTAGTAGTGGGGTATTGATTCTTAAGTTCCCTGCATTGCCTGGAAACAAGCGATTTTTGTTCAGCTGCACTGATGTTGTCTTTGAGACCATCTTTGCTGAATTGCTCAGCACTGACAGTTTTACATGCCCCAGGCAGGCTGACCTTGTGCCAATTTAGTAGCTCCTGTTGTTGAGTCAGTTACCCGAGTCAGGGCTGTAGGGAATGCAAATGTGCTTCCTGGCATCTGTTCTGTATGCATCTTGTCAGCTGTTCAGTGATAAAGTCAACAGTCTGTTACAACGTGGTACTTGAAACATGAGGTTTTTGCCCTGTTTCTCACATTTATATAAATTCAGTGCATAGGCACAAAACAGATATGTTGTTAATTTGATATGGAAAATCAAAGGCATGTTGTCAGAATTCAAAAATACCTCAGTGTGGTACTTCAGATGGCTAGGAAAAACAGGGCTTTAAGATGGTCAAAATGTCATGAAGCACTGCTTTGAAACTGTGATCTATCTTGACAGTAAGTCATACCTTTCATGAAAACCTCAGCCAAGGTTTTCTGGTTGTATAAATTACCCCAGCCTTCGCTTGCGGACTATTAGAGTTCTCTTGCAGACAGAAGGAGAACACTTTTAATGTGCAGTGATCATACAAATTCTCTGTTGAAGTGCCTTAGGTGATTGTTTTGGGTAACCAGCAGAAAACTGCTATTTAAAGGAAGATCTAGATACTATTAGAGGCTGTCATCTAAAAGCAATTGGGAATTAAAAAGGGGATGGCATTTTAGGCATGAGGTAATTATTTTGTAACTTATTAGAACTTAATACAGTTGGTGCTAAAACTCCAGCTTGTCTCATTACCATATTATTACAATAACCCAGTGAAGAATCAATAAATCATTGCCATTAGTGCTGTAGAGAGAAGCTGCTGAAGGCAAGTCCTGCTTTCAGTTCAGGTGTTGAAATGCTGATCAATAGCAAAGACTTAATCAGGTGAGTGTAGCACAGTAAAAGGGTTACCAAAATAATTTGTTCTTCAGAAAATCAGAAGTCTTCATTGCTTTTGTGGGGGAATTTGGTATAATTTTTTCTCTAAACTGAACAAGGATTAAAGAAGGATCTGGAGATATGGGACACCACACTGTTCTGAGAATGACTACGGGTTACTTTAAGTGTCCCACTTAGATGAGATACTCAGTAGCAAGAGCAAAATAGCAGTCTTCCTGTTGCCAGTGGATTGACTTTTGCAATATTACACAGATCATATTGTTCCTTTTATGCAGAAAGAAAAACAGACAAACACTTAATTCTGTCTGTAGAAAATGTACATTTATCTTTTCTGTTTCTGCTTTCAAGCTTTTTGTAGACCTGCTGTATGCATCCTGTACCCTCATACAAAAGGGCAGACAATGTGCTCTGACACATGTGAGGAAACGAGCAGAAAAATGTTCCTTTCTTTTACAAGGATTATTCTAATCCCTGTACAGCAAGTTGTCTTAATTAAAGCATTAGCATTCTGATTAAGCAGCTCCTTCAACTTAGCCAGTTTTCAGGAAGTCTGAATCATTTCAAATTATGTTACTTGAACAAGAAGTGTCATTTAGTGTTAAATTTGCTGCATTAATTTTTATCTAGCAGTTTCTATATTTAAACTTGACTTCCTGCATATTTTTCCCACTTGGTATCACTGAAGGACTTGGCACCAACTTGAGGAATTCCCAGTAATTTACTGTCCTCGGAGTGGTAACTGCTGAGCTGGGCTTTCCTTTTGTTTCCAAGGGCTTCCTCTAGATGCTAAAATATTGAGGACTGTCATTTTGTTGTCATGTGGAAATAGTCTTGCAGAAAACAAATCAGCTGATTTCAAGGTGTGTAATCGAGACAGAAGGAGTACAGTAGTTCCTTTCCACCCATTGGGCTATATCAAAATGTTTGCTTAGACTAAAGCACTGGGAGCAAAAAGTTGGACATTAATGATACGTATGGCTGATCACATTGAAAAGCATTAAACATAAAGCATTAACGATGTTGCTAAACAGATGACGTAAAAAGCAATGGGAACTGTTTTTTGAAATCTAGGAATTAAACTTTTCCCCAGACTTATCCTTTTCTAAGAAAAAGCTGGAGTTTTTCCATGGGAGTTCATGCTTTATTTTGTGTTTTTTCAGCCTTCAGAGATAGAAATGGAGTCTCAAGTCCACCTGTATGGTCACACAGCAGAAATAACAAGCCTGTTTGTGTGCAAACCATACAGTATAATTATAAGTGTCAGCAAAGATGGAACCTGCATCATATGGGATTTGAACAGGTACGAGTATATATGTAACTTTTTCCAATGGCTTTGTTTTAAATACCTGTTTGCCAATTTTGGGGTATTTTTACCCTTTTAAAGTTAACTGAATTTGTTCTATCTATATCTTAATGTGAAGTCAAACCCTTACTATTTTCCATGAGGGGTTCTGGATTTCTAGAATGAATACAAAAAAACACCATCATGCAAAATATTGATTGAAATTAATATAGCTCTTAACTGTTTGGAGACCTTATTGCAGCCTTCCAGTACCTGAAGGGGCTACAAGGAAGCTGGGGGGGGCTTTTTACAAGGGCCTGTAGTGACAGGACAAGGGGTAACGGATTTAAATGGAAAGTGGGGAGGTTTAGATTGGATATCAGGAAGAAGTTCTTCGCAGAGGGTGGTGAGGCACTGGAACAGGTTGCCCAGAGAAGCTGTGGATGCCCCCTCCCTGGAAGTGTTCAAGGCCAGGCTGGATGAGGCTTTGAGCAACCTGGTCTAGTGGAAGGTGTCCCTGCCCATGGCAGGGGGGTTGGAACTAGATGGTCTTTAAGGTCCCTTCCACCCCAAACCATTCTGTGATTCTATGATTTTGAGTCTGAACTTGAGGCTTGTTCTCTTTATTTTCTTCAGGCTGTGCTATGTCCAGAGTCTGGCTGGACACAAGAGTCCTGTGACTGCAGTTTCAGCTAGTGAAACAACTGGTGATATTGCAACAGTTTGTGACTCAGGTATATCTGGCAGTCAAAAAAGCTGTTTTGACTTGCAGGCCAAATGAATAATGAGACTTGCTATTGTATTAGTTACTGTGGTATATGTTAATCCTCTGAGGAGGTATGTGGTCAATTAGGAGTGCTCTTATTTTTTTTAACATAATAACATAAAAATTTCTCCAGGAATGATTAGACAGGTGCTTGAGTAAAATAGAGATATAAGCTAACAGCTTCATCTTGTCATAAAAAGACTTGAAATTTCAACACATTCCTGGGAGACCTAAATTCTGTGAAGTTGGCTGCTTTCATTTTAACAGGGATCTGTTGTCAAAGGTACAGTACTTCAGAGGAGTACAGTGTCTTAGAGCAACGGAATTTGTTACTCACTCTGTCACTTTAAATGCTTCCATATCCCCAGAAGCAAACATAGATTTGCTTAGCTATTCACTAGTTTAAAGCAAAGAGGAATAACAGCTATACTGCAGCAGAAAGAGCAGGTATTTGTATTAGGGATTCTGTGGAGGGAAGTAGTTCTCTCCCATCTTATTTTAAAGAAATTTTTATACTGTTTGTTTTCACGTGGTACTGTTTCTGGGTGAGAGCATTAAGACTTATTTGAGCAGTGGATTTTTCAGTGTCTCGTAAATCAGGATGCTCATCGGCTTCAAGGTTGCCTGTGTGCTACACGACTGTATCGATACAGCAGGGCCAAATCAGAGTCCTCACACCATTTTGCTGTCTCTAAGATTACCCATGTGTATTGTGTTAACTTGAGACTGGGAGGGGAATATGTTCCATCTAGATGACAGAATATTGTTTCATTGATCGAAGGAGGCAGAAAATAAGAAGGAAGAGTGCTTAACTTTGTTTATCCATGTTGTTGGAAGACAGTTACTGACCCAATTCTTGCTTTGTTTGGGCCAATTTTCTTTCTCTTTTGCCGTAAGAAAGATAGGTCTTGCATACTTCAGTATTTTTTAGCCAACTTTTCTTACTGTAGTCCTCCATAGACTGAGCTAAAACTAATACTGTTCCAAATCAGGGCTGGGGGGGAAGCAAAATAGCACTGTCTGTAGTATTAAAGGACTGGGGAAATTTTGCTGGCAGTTTCAGAAACCTGATATTTAGGTTTTAAAATGACATGGAGAATTTCATCTCCCTTTTTGTAGCTCACAAACCAATCTTTTTTTCTGGAAAAGATTGTGTTCTTTAATTGCTAAGGGACATGGGTTTCAATCCCTTTTAAGACAAAGCAGTAGCTGTATTATTAGTTCTTTGGTAGAATCAAAGAACCTCAGGTAAAAGTAGCAAGAACAATTATCTTGGTTAAGTATTTTACTTAAAATGCAAGCCAGGGTACAAGAACTAACTGCTTAAAGTAGATAGTATGAATTCAATCATAGTGCTTCTCTTTTAGTACATGAAAATTGGTCATTAAAAGTAAATTCATACAGCATTTTCTAAGTACAGTGTTCTATAAATATGAAGTGATGTGTTCTAAATCACTGCAGTGTCTTGGTGGTTTGCATGTTGCCTGTCACAAAAGGAGGGAAGAGTTAATTGTTTACTGCAGCACACATCAATTGGAGTCTTCGTATCTTTCAAGAAGTTGAATTCTTTAACACTGAAGGATTCTGTTGCATAGACCTAGCTGTAGTCTAGACTTATGTTTTTAATACTACCATGCTGTGTTCTGTTGCAGTTGGAGGGGGTAGTGATTTGAGACTTTGGACAGTTAATGGTGATCTCGTGGGACATGTACACTGCAGGGAAAGTATTTGCTCTGTTGCTTTCTCTAACCAGCCTGAAGGAGTGTCTGTCAACGTGATTGCTGGGGGGCTTGAAAATGGAGTTGTAAGGTAAGCATTTGAAACTTTCTTATTAAAAGACGTTATAACTTTAGGCTCCCACTTTGAGAGCATGTAGCCAAACATGATGCTGATATTTAGCTTTATAGAAGGTGGACAAGCTGTTGTTCGGTTTCCAATCTTAGTAGTTGCTAAACAGGTTATGTTTATCACTGAAATATTTGTAAAATCAAATGTGAAGATAACTTACTCTTTCAGACTATGGAGTACGTGGGACTTGAAGCCAGTACGAGAAATAACATTTTCGAAGTCAGCCAAACCTATTGTAAGGTAAAAAGATTTTAAGTATACAATAAATGGATTTTCCTCTTGAGGGGTGGGGAAGGGGGGGAATGACAACAACAAAACCTTCAAAAACCTCACAACAAAACAGCCTTGAGTATTAGGTGGGGATTTGACATGAGAACAGGAGGTAAACACCCATGTCTAAAAAGAGCAATGCAATCCTACTAATTATTCATGAAAGCAAAATGAGCACAAGTGTACTGTATTTGTAATGACAGTAATAACTGGGTTCTGCTGCTGGCAGATAGAAATTAGCAGGATTCCCTTGAGAACTGAACAATAGCTGCTACTCTTATTCTTACTTAATATTTTTCCCCAGAATCTGTGTAAAAATCATGAGATAATATTAACTTTGCCAGACTCAAATAGACACTTTTTTCTCCCTCACATAAATGAAAACACTGCATTTTTCCTGATCCTTTTTTCTTTTTCTGATGCTGGAATGAAGTGGTGGAGAACGGAGTAAAAGAAACTCAGAGGAGCCTAGAAACTGCTGTTTTGCTGTGCTTATGTAATTTTCTGAGTCCCCTTGATGATTTATATAAGCAGAATTATTCTCGCGCCAAAATGTTTTCAGAACATAGTGAAAGGATTGAGTCTTTGATATCCCCAGTGGTACAGTACCCTGCACAGAGGTCTTAAAGCTATGCCAAAATTTTATCATCTCAGTGTTAGCATAGTAACAAATTACTCTGAAAAATTTTGGTTTGACCATTGCCGAAATACCATTTTTTAAAACACTAATCATTTTTTTTAGAAACAGAAAACATTGTCTGATAGCAGTTACTGTCTTTCTCTTACATCCTTTAAGAGGCATATTTCACAAAGCTTGTTGATAATGGTTTAGAAACTGTTGAATAATTTAAAGTTTCCTGCTTAAATGAGACAGAAAATGGACGCTGACCTTCACACTCTCTAACGTTACCTGTGGTGTGACTGAAGGGCTTTACTACTGTTATAGCTTAAGAAATGCCTGGCTGAACACAAGTCCTATGCCTTGCCGTGAAATCAGATGGATTTAGTTTCTGCCTTTGCCAGCAAGCAAGTTCAGAGGCCATGGAGTTCAGTTGCTAAAATGCCTTCCTTTCAAAAGCAGAAGGGGCAGCCCATAGAAAGAGTAGGATACTGGTACTGATCCTACCCTTTTCTTTGAGGCTGCAAAGAAAGGAATACTAAACTGCATGGCATGTTGAAGTGCTGGACAAAGCTGCAGTTCAGCCTGTGCGGTTACAGAAATGAATAATCAGGGATCTGCAAGCATAGTGCTGTGTTAATGCACTCGCTGGGTCTGGTCTGAGAGCTAATCTTTAGCTATACTCTGTTACTAAAAATGCTGTTGTCTTGTTTTTCAGCCTTACTTTTTCCTGTGATGGGCATCACTTGTTCACAGCTAATAGTGATGGAAATGTTATAGCTTGGTGTCGCAAGGACCAGCAGCGCTTGAAGTTACCCATGTTCTACTCATTCCTTAGCAGCTATGCGGCTGGGTGATGACTCTCTTTGCTGCTAACTCGTGTCTCTGATGCACTTTAAGTCCAAAATAGATCACAGAATCTCTTATTTAACTGGATTTGAAGAACTTTGAATGTTTCCAGAATGACTGAATAGAGGAATTTTTTTTTAAAAGAGCAGTCTAAGGTGGTTGTAAAATTGCATATGTGCATGCACAAACCTGAAGCATATCTGCGTCACCAGGAAGCTCCGGTCATATACTCCAATACCAGCAAAATGACTCATAAATGCTCTAACATACAAGTTAAAATGCTGCAATATGAACATAATAGTATTTTTTTAATCACTTCTTAGACAGAAGTATTTAAAAAAATCAATTGATAATGCTTATTCCCCCTCTTCTGTTGTAAAATGTTGGCAGAGTAGAGTTCTGTAAATACATGATAAAATGTCAGCATATGTATATCTGATTAGTCGAGCTCTGGGATAAGCAACCCAAAACTTCAAAATCCAAGACCACTTAAAATTGCTTTTTTTGAGAAGCAAAGAAGTTCGTAGGTGCTTTTTGCACCACTTTATGGTATTGTAATGCTAAAAATTGAATTTCTGTTACCTTTATATTTGTCATTTTTGCCATTTTCTCTGTTAGTATAATAGTCTTTACAACAGGCAAAAATAAAATGTCTTAGTGATGGCATCATGAAGCAATAGTCAGATCACACTTTGCTTTTGTTTTTTCATGTCTGTTAACTCCCTAAAATGTGTAACACCTAGCTATTGCAATTCTGTGGCAGACTATATATTTTAGACACATGCATCTTATCTTCCAGAGCTCTAAAAAAGGTGTTGAAGGCACAGATGTGCTCCTGTTGTAGTGTCATTGACGTTCAATGCACCGTAAAATGTTTGAATCTAACTGCTTGAATAATCAATGTTCACAGGCGTCAGATGATTTGGAAGAGTTTACACAGATACACTGTGCAAATACGTTATTTATTCCTAGGTGCTATTTTTTGATGGGGGTTAAAATAAGCCTGCATTGTGAAAGGCTTTAACAAATCTGAATTCTTAGGCCAGAACAAAAATTACCATTTCAGCTGATGGATTTGAAGACCTCTAAACCTGACACTATGAATGAGTGCCTACTAGTCATACGAATAGTAAACCAACAAAGCTATACGTGTCTGATGTAGCAACGAGTCTCTTCTAAATTGCTTTGCTTTTGCATCATTGACATGTTCTGCTATTGCTATACAGACGAACTGCTGATCTTCTCATGTTCAAGGTTCGCCTGCCTTCAAAACACTGTATATGAAATTGTCAAGTTGTGATGAAGATGACAGACACACAAGAAACCTTTACACTTCTCTTGAAAATTTCAGTCTTCAGAAACTCTTGCAACTTCCTGGTTGAAGACCTCTTCATCGTCCGTGACACAAAGGCTGATCTTTGGTTCAGCTAAGCAAGTGGCCGCGCACTGTATGGATTGAATTTTAAACCGCCTATATTGTAGCAGCATTGTATAGGATGGCTTTAGTCATGTTTTTCACTGTCTGAATGTTAATGTAAGGTCCAAATACAGAATGAAAAGCTTCCTGGCTCATGTTGAAGTGATGTGCTTTATTTAAGAAGGAAAAAACCGCAGGTGGTGTGGGTTTGGGGTAATTGTGTGCTCCCTGGTTTGGGGTGTTGCTCACAAAGGCTTATTTTTATAAAGTAAAATTACACTTGTTACAACTCAATATGCAAAATTGCTGGCCTTGTAAAGAGTGCAATATTATATATTTTTATGTAAAAGGAAAAATGATTTTTTTGAAGCAAGGAATATTTATTCAGCTTATCATTCTGGGCCCATTAAAATAACATTGCAAAAGTATCTGTGCATGCTGTACTGAAATTTCCTGTAAATGTCACATTCCACACTGTCTTTGTATATACAGACTGTTGCACTGTTGGATAATAAACAGATCTTTGTACCAGATTGTTTGAGATGGTTAGAAACATGCTTTGGCTTCGTTTTACTTCTTTTAGGGCTCTTGCACACCTTGCTCCAGATCAATTTCTGCTGGTTCTCATGTCTTGCGTTTTAAAAATCATGATGCGGGGAAGCTCTGTTTATGGACTGCATCACATGGCTGTCAAACTGGAGGGGTGATGGAAGATTGGAAGTGGGGAAGCCCTAGGCATATCAGTTTGCACATGCGTGCATGAGTTCTTCCATCCTATAGGATGCATGGCTACAATTGGGATGAAGCGATGGCTCCCAAAGAGACATTCTCCTTCCTCCCAGCAGCCTCCTCCATGAAAACCTAACTGGGCTAGGGAAAAGCAGAAAAGCAACCCTGCTTTGGATTCTCTGAGAGAAGGAAGAAGGTGCTGGGTGGAAATGGGAGACGGGGATCTCTGGGAGGCTTCTGACAGAGGTTGCAAGGCCCTTCCTATTGGAAGCCAGGGTTTGGGGGAGGTTCCTGTGTGCAAGGCCTGTCTCTGGTACCACTTGCAGGATTTTGTGGTAAACCCGGATCATTATGTGGAGACAGGTGGTGAGAGATAGAAGGGGAAGCAGTAGCCAGATACTTGCTTGTTGTGGGGAGAGGAGAGGGAGTCTCCAAACCATTACTGACAAAGGGAACCCTGATCTCGGGTTTGAGAGCCGCTGTTTAGACAAAGCCACGACAATAAATAGGAGAAACAAAAGAAAATCAGTAGAGATCTGTTTCTGGGAACTGGGTTACACATGATAAAAAATTTTATGCAGGAAAAATGGTTTCTGTGACAAAACACTTCAAATTTGACTCTGAGACATCAACTTTAAGGATCTTTGCATTTAAACCACATCTCTCTGGAGAAGGAGCTGAAAGGGTTCTTTCACACTGTGATCGCAGGATTTACTATGGATTTTGTGGACAGAACTCTAGAGAGCACTGGGGGGGGTGGTTATCGCCTGATTTGCTACTCTTAAACATTTTGTTTACTTTTTGGTCTTCATGCTTTGTTTTGTTTGAAGCTGTAGTGGCTTTTTTTTCTTCTGGCATATGTGTATAGAAGGCACACTTCCATATGCTGCTACTCTAGCACAAAAAATATAACCCAAATATTATTTCAAAGTTCTGCTTGTCTTGAAAAATTACCAACTGGAACATTAGTTAAGCTTCTAGAAGTACAGACAGCACTGTTTGCTTTGCTACTAAGTTACAAACTACTGACAAATGACCTCTGTGTAAAGATAAGACTTGCCAGTACTGCTCTGGAGTGGTGTCATAAAGCCACTGATTCTGCATCTGGATTTCTGTAAGAGGCTGTGCTACATATTTCACAATTTGGGCAGGTCACTTTTGGAGGAGGATTAAGAACCATATGTGACTGATCAGACTCATGCACTATCCTGGGCTACCCAGCAGAAAGTGGTTAAGTAAAAACATGAGCTTGCTCAGTTTCCAGCTTTGAACTAGCATTCCCCAAGAAGATTAAAAAATCCAGATTCTCTCACCCAACTGAGTAAGGCCCACATAAGCCTCATCAGGGGCTAGTTCATGCAGATTCAAGGCATAAAAATTCATGCTGGCTGTTAGAGGTACTGCACTGAAAGCCTATAGGCCAACTCCGATAGGGGACTCCTACTTGCAGAATATACAAATTTGCAGATTAAAAAGAAAACATGTCTGTATAATATATGATGAAAATACATTTTAAAACAACCATTTTGCCCCTTATGTTTTAGCTTAAAGAATGAAATTGTTAGAAACCAGTGGTAAAAATATTGTTTAAACTGGTGACAACTGCCTGATTATTTGAACCACCTCGCAAGCGCTTTGTCTAATAGCATGTAAATCCTTTGTCCGGTAAAACAGAGGGCTTTGTAGAGCAATGATGCAATTAACTGTGAATGAAACAGCAGCAGCATGGGCTGGTTAAGTTTCCGGTGGCTTTCTGGAGCTCTAGGTAAGGAAACCTTATGGACCTACCTGTTCAGTAATGTTTACCGTGGTCCTGCTGCATTTTCTTCGCCTAAGCCACCACCCTAAAAGCCACTGCCTCAGTCTTTGAGGAGGCTGCCCTTGCTCCGGAGCACCTTTAAAAACGGGGCTCTTTCCTGGTTTCTTTTGTATGGAAAATAAAAGCGACTTGGGAATGCTTCTCCTCTATTGAGATGGACTGAGAAGATGTGCGGATGGCGGGGTAGAAGGGTGACAAATGTGTGTCTCTGCGGAGGGAACAGCCGCCTCACTGGGGAACAAAACAAACGCGACTGTGGTGAGGGTACTCCTGCCGACGTGTCACCTACTGGGGCAGACTGGTTTGTCAGTTAAAAAGGGGAATTGGCACTGTGACTACTGCTGACCTTTGTGGTCGGCTCTCAGATTTGTAATGGAGGAGTATATAAAAATCGACCTATAAGGCGGTAGGGTTTTATTCTGACTTGCCAGCCGCGCCAAGGTGAGCCCCAGCGGGTCCCGTTCCCACAGCGTCCCTTTTCTCACCGCGGGCTTTTTCACTTCACCCTTCCTTTGCC